CCTGACGCAAGTCCTGCCCCTGTGCCCTTTCCCCATTGGCCAGGATTGGGTCATACAATCTAATCCAGGTTGGCTAAACATTTGAATTTGTTTAGATAAGGTGAGCACGTAAAAGAAAAAGAGAGGGAAGGGGAAGGGGTGTGTGTAGTGAGCTAGAATGTTAGTCCTCTTTCCAAATAAGGAAAGGAATGTGAGCTGGTCTGTGGTCTGGTACTGTGGTCTGGTACTGTGGCGTGGTCTGGTACCGTGGTCTGGTACTGTGGCGTGGTCTGGTAATGTGGTCTGGTACTGTGGCGTGGTCTGGTAATGTGGTCTGGTAATGTGGTCTGGTACCATGGTCTGGTACTGTGGCGTGGTCTGGTAATATGGTCTGGTAATGTGGTCTGGTACTGTGGCGTGGTCTGGTAATATGGTCTGGTAATGTGGTCTGTACTGTGGCGTGGTCTGGTAATGTGGTCTGGTACTGTGGCATGCCTGGGCATCTAACAAAGGCAGAAAGGAAAAAGGGAAAAAAGAGTGTGGGGGCTACTATGAATTAAAAGATTGATCAGGCTATTTGAAGAGAAACCTCATCATAACCCACAGCCAGGACATCCAGTAATAAAACTTGAAATCAGGCAACTTTCCCTGTCTCCTCACTTTGCTAAGAGTTTGTATCATTAATGGGTATTGAACCTTGTGGGATGTGCTTTCTGCATTGGCTGAGATGTTTTTCTCTGTTTAGCCTGTGACTATGGTGAGCTACACAACAGACCTCCCGATGCATGCGTCTCATATTCACAGACAAGCGTTGCTTGATCATGTGTGGTTTTAAAAACATACGCTGTTGGGTTTGGCAAGCTAATATTTTATTTAGGATATTTTCCTTCATGGGCCTGCTGTTTGTTTTATTGTTTTGTGCCAAGCACGTTGGGAACGGTACCGAGGCAGGCCAGGTCTCACTCACGCAGGCCCCCGGAACAACTGTTTCCACAATGACTGAGTGGTGAGGTTAAATATTAAAAGCTGATAGAGTCAGCGCCCTTATGCAAAGGCTGCCTTATGCAAAGGTAACAGAAGCCCCCCGAGAGTTGTGCCCAGGCCTCTCCAGGGCCTTGAAGCTTGACAAGATAGCAAAGGAATCCTTGACAGGACCCGTTTAGGATTAAACAAGTTTTACTGGGGTCTGAAGAAACTCCTCAGACCTCCACAAACGAGCTTCCTTGGAGACTAAAGGAGCTCCCTAAACCTCCGTGACTTGGCAGAAGGCAAGATAAGGGTGATCACCCCAGCACCTGGACCCAGTTAGATTCAGTAAATCCACTGAGGCTCCAGGGACAGGTCTTCAGGACTCAGACCTTAGTGACAGACGAGAAGCTAATCACTCATGTCTTTAGAAGAAGGCACACTTACACGCAGACACGGAGCTTCGAAGGCACACAAGCTCTGGAAAACATTGGTCTGGCAGTAATTTCCAGGCCTCCTCCCTGTAACCGGTTAACTCCCTTCTCTCCCAGTTCATCTGCGTCTCGTTACTGAGCCAGGAGCAGCCCCTACCCTCGCTTTGGTCTGGGAACGGTATCCAGCAGCTGAGCAGGCAAACGCTGAGATTATCTTTAGCTGGTTTTGGAATCGGCTTTACCAGCCGTTTGCCCCTTCTCTAAGTTCATGGACAGTTTGTCTAAGTTTGTCAGCTGTTCCTTGAGTTTGGCACAGTCTACCTGGGAAGCCTGGGGCAGGCGCACACCGGCCTCTTCCGGGGTCAGCTCTGGCATTTTGTTTTTCCTTGAAACGATCTGGGAATTCAAACTTTCTGAATGCAGCTGCTCATAATGTTCTTGTGATTTCTTTGATCCCTTCTGTCTGGAGTTATTTTTCTATTTTCAGTTTCTATTGTTATAAATTATATATTTTCCTCTTTTTTGCTCATGTCAAAATCAATCTATCTTTTCAAAGTATGATCGTTGGTTTTTGCTACTCATATTATTTGATTGTTCTCTATTTCATTGATTTCTGGCAGTATCTTTGTCATTTCCCTTTGTCTTATTAATTTGGGATCATTTGTGACATTGCTGCTTTTTCCAATTACGTGATTTGTATGATTAGTTCTATTCTCGCTTGACCTATTTCTTTCTTTCTTTTTTTTATTTTTTTTTATTTTTTTGAAAGAAGGTCTTGCTGTCTTCCCCAGGCTCGAGTGCAGTGGTGCTGTCATAGCTCACTGAAGCCTCAAATTCCTAGACTCAAGCGACCCTCCCACCTCAGCCTCCTAAGTAGCTGGGACTACAAGCGCTGTTAGAAATAGCAAAATTGTTAGAAATAGATAATCGGTGCCGTGAAGAAAAGTCAGCACAGAGACAGAAGATCTCTCAGCAAGGCCATCTTCACGTTCTGCAGAAAGGGTGCTTGATTGCAGATGGAACGACGGCGAGAGCACCCGCGAACAAAGCAAAGGCAGACATAATTATCCCTTACGCATTTGGGTCGTCCTGACCGCTGTGTCCTGCATCCACTGGCTGGAGCAGGACCTCACAATCTTTCAGATTGCTGAAAGCAATAATCACGGGGCCCTGACGCCTCCCACCCGGGCTGTGACCCTGGCCTAGGGCTCCTCTCACCTCCTGCACCCCACAGCCTCTGGGCCAGGCTCTGGCTCCCACCCAGTCCCTGCAGCCGAGGGAAGCCGCTGCCTGCAGGCCTGGGGGCCTCCCTGTCCAGCTGCCCCCTCACCAGCTTCCGGCAGGGTCAGGACAGAGAGGGGGTTGCAAATCCACTGACCCCAGCGGAAGCCTTGCCGGAGTCTCCCAGGCATGGGTGGACCCAGGCACCTGGGGCCAGTGGAGAGGCCACGGACAGGGACAGTGACTGGCTCTGGGCCCCTCTGGGGACCATCCTGCACTGGTGCCCATGGGCAGCAGAGGGTGCCCCTGACCATCCCTCCATGGCGTCTGTGGGAGCCTCAGCAGCCTCAGGGTCCAGGGGCACCCAGCTGTCAACCTGGCTGTCCCGGAGTGAGCTTCAGTGGGAGGGGAGGAGGGGGCCTGCGATTGTGTAGGGACGAGGCTGGGGGAGCAGAGACTCCAGAAACCGTGTCCCACACCCTGCACTGCCCCACACTGTGCAGCCCCCACCTCCCTCCCAGAGCCCCCCAGCAGCTAGGCTGTGACAACTGCTTGTGTATCGGGACCTGGCAGGCGGCAGGTCGCTGTGACCTTGGGGCCTGGGGTCCCAAAGCCAGGCTGCCTGCCCCTGGTTCCCCCATGGCCATCTCCAGAGCCACCACCGCCCTGCTCTGCCAACCCCGATCCTCCCTCTCACTGCAGGGCGGCCTTGGACTCGCTCAGACCCTGAGTTCAGACCCTGGGGTGCAGAGGCTGATGGCCCGGCGCTGGCCTCCTGCGCCCTCCTCACCCCTGGGCACTCACTGAGGGCTGCTCTCCTGGGCCTGCTCTCCTGAGGGCTAAAGGGCACCCAACCCCTTCCCCAGCTCTGAAACAACCCTCAGATCCTGATGCTTTTGGGGTCTCATGTTTGGGGAGGGAACTGGCAACAGCCCAGGACCCCCAGACCACGGAGGTCGCCCTGCTGAACACAAGGGTCTCTGCCTCCCAAGGGTGGGGACTCCAGAGGCTGGGCACCAGGGAGGGCCTTGCTCTGGGCCCTCCTGCCTGGCTGTGGCTGGCACCCTGGGACCCCAGACCCGGCTCAGAGCAGGGATGGCTGCGTCTTGCTCCCAGCCTGTCCTGATCCCAGGCCCTCCGGCCACAGCTCCATAAGGTGGGCGCTGAGATGTCCCCGAAGCCCAGAGGCCCTGAACGGAGATGAGGTCTCTTTTCACGGACCCGCCGTGTTCCCACCGCACCCTCTCTTTGGGGTTTGATTGGCCCAAGGAATGTGAGTGTTTCTGAGAAGCCCAGATGTTACCCAAGCGCTAGGCCCCAGGCTCTGTGACTCCCATGTGGGGACAATGGAAACCAGATGCTGGGAAGCCGGGCTGGGTGGGCGGGCCCCTGGCAGCTGTGCGCTGCGTCCATCTGGACTGGTCTCTGAGCCCCCAGGCCTGTGGACCTTGGCCTCATGGGAGCCCCAGCTCTGTCACTGTTACTCCCGCCACCAGCTCCCACCGGCAGAGTGGGTGTTCTCTTGACAACTTGAGAAAAGAGCTTCTGGGAGCCTGTGTTCCGACCCGAGCTCACGCAACTAGTGGGTGACAGAGCTGGGACCTCACTCGGTTCTGACTGCCTCAGCTTTCCTGGCTCATCCAGCCTGGGGTACACCAGGCAGGATGCCAGCAGTTTCTCTGAGCCACGGTGTGGTCAGGCAGAGAGACAGAGGGTCTGAGTGGCCCCTTATAGATGCTGTGGTCCTGCGTGGAAACCCTCTGGGTCTCTGAGGAGTGGGGTGACCTGGGACTGAGGCCACCCATGTTCAGCTCCCTGCAGAGTGGGAAGGAGCCCCCCGCCCCGTCTCTCTGGGACCCAGCCGGAGTGGGGGCTGCTGGACTGTAAGGGACCCTGACCCTTTCTTCCCTACTGCTCCAGCCTCATTAAAACTGCTGCACCCCGGCGGGTGGGCGGGATGTGGGGCAGCCCCACAGCCGAGCTCCCCGCTGCAGGGGGAGGGCCTGTGTGGGGCTCCCAGACCAGGTCCTAGAAGCCCCTCCGCCCTGCCCCGCGCTGCGGGGAACCGGGTGTCTGGGCAGGACCCACAGCATCAGGGCCGGGAAAGGGGCTTGAAACCCAGTGCTTGGGAGCCTGCCCCTGCCCCCACCACCTTTTGGGCCCAGAAGCCATGATGGTGGCACAGAGGAAGGAGGTTCGGGCCCCAGCCTCGGGGGTCTCACACAGGGACCCCAGGTCTGAGCTGCGTCAGTCGTGCAGCCCTGGCCCTCCCCAGCCCCGGTGACCCCACCCGAGGGCCCCCACTGCTGCCCGCAGACATCTCAGGGTCTCCCAGCCCGGGGCGGCGGCGCCGGAAGTGACTCCCGTCCCCAGGAATGCGCCGGCGGCCCGGGACCCTTCGGGGTGGGCTCTGGGGGGCCAGGTGCGGCCTCAGCGCCGTCACTTCCCGGGAAGCCTCGTCCCCGGGGTCCCCGCCGGCTCCTGCTGGCTCCCCCGTTCCTCTGAAATCGGAGGAACAGGCTCCGGGAACGCGGCCAGACTCCCCCACGGCTCAGACGGCTTTAAAGCAATATTCCTGCCAGATGTTCAGAGCAGAGGCCAGCATGAGGTAACGCGGAAAGCTGAACCCGTCCAGCCCCGCAGCCCCGCAGCCGCCCCCGGGGCCCAGCTCGGGGGTTGGGGGACCCTGTGCCGTGGGGGTCGTCCCTGCCGCGTCCGGGTCCCGGGGGCTGGGCCTGCCTGCGGCGGGAGCCCACCGTGTGCGGGCAGACGGGCTCAGAGCGCTTTTCTGCAGCCGTCCCTGGAGCGGGTGTTGGACCAGCCCCTGATGGGCGCCCGGGAGCCACTGGCTGCGGCGTGATGCCCGCCTGGGAGAGGGGTGCATTCGGGGGTCCCCAGAGGCGGCGCCAGCGCCCGGCACGGCCTGGGGGAGCCTCTGTGTGGCCAGCGCCGGGCAGCCCCGGACCCCCCACCCTTTGCCTCACGGGCCCTGGGTTTCAGGGCAGTGGCCTCTCAACCCAGCGAGATCACAGCGTCGTCGAGATATTTTTTATTTTTTTTTATTATTATTTTTTTGCGTCTCTTTGAAATGACAGTTCCCAGAACCAGAGCTTCCATGACGGATTCTCACCGGAAAATGAAATTCTCAGCGTTCAGGCAAAGGAACAAAATGAATTAGGCCAGTGCCCGTGGCCCGGGAAGCACCAGGGGGCCTCAGCGAGCTCCTGAGTGTCACGCTCAGTGCGGGTGTTTCCGCCTCCGCCCGTCTCAGAGGAGTCGCCAAAGGAAACGCAGAGAGGGCGGGACGCAAGCCCAGGACCCTGCGGCTCCCGCCACGGGGTCGCGCCCTCCCTCCGACATCCGGAGTCTGCGGCTCCCAGAGGCGCTCCCGGAACAAACGAGGGCGCGCACAGCTCTCTTCCCCGCAGTCCGGGGCCACCGTCCCAGGGCCCGTGATTGACGGAACAGCCCCTGGAATGGAGCCTTGACTGTGTGGCCGGGTCTTTCCAGTTACAGGCGATGCTGCAGAAACGCGTGTTTTCCCGTCTGGGACTCAGTTTGTCGCAGACCCATTCCTGGATCGCCGCTGTCGCCCACTCTCCCCAGAGGCCTCCTCCCTCCCACCCGACCGATGGGAGGCCGCGTCCCCCACACTTGCCAGGAGCCCCGCCTGCAGCCCAGGCGTCTTCCCTGCAGCCGAGGCCACGGGCTCCTGTGGCAACGGCCGCCTCCCCCCGGCCTGTTTTCTGCCTTCTGCCGTCCTGTTGGTGACTGGGGAGGCCCGTGGTCAGTGAGGCCCCAGAGATCACCTGGGGGAGTCCTGTAGGGAGAGCCTGACTCGGACCAGCGTTGAGCCGTCGCGCCCCCGCTTGGGACCAGGACGGGCTGCACCTTCCCCACCTGTGGCCCTGGGACCTGCCCCACCCGACCCCGGGGAGATCCAACCGCAGGCTGCCTCCGGCCAGCGGACTCGTTCACACTCTCGGCCAACAGGCTGGGGCCAGGCGCCGCCCTGCCCTCGGTGCCCAGCAAACACGTGGGCCAGCCAGACCCCTGGACCCTCACAGGGAGGAGATGGAGATGGGTTCACCTCCTACAAAGGTGGGAGGGGGAGGGGATGCCCGCCGTGCCCAGGTGCCAGGGCGGAGCCGAGGGCCGCGGGCACCACTTGGGCCCTTGGAGGGGCCGGCATGTGCCTCTCTGTCGTTGTGCCACTTCCACCGGGGTACAGGGCCACCACCATGGAAACCGCATGTGTAACCCCTGGAAACAAGGTCCTCCTGGATGAATCATGTTCTAAGTGGGGAGGAAAATTCACTGGATAGTGGAGGCAGTAGGAAGAAATAAAAAATGTCTTTGTTCCACAGATGCTTGGAGGGCTTGGGTCCTGGGTGTTTATAGTGGGGGCCGCCTTCCAACACCACATCCTAGGAGGGAGTCCCGGGAGGGCGTTCCGGAAACTCCGCAGTCACTGGGGAGGGGTCACAGTCAGCCCCCCACCACCCGCCCTCAGGGCACAGTCAGCCCCCCGCCACCCGCCCTCGGGGCACAGTCAGCCCCCACCACCCGCCCTCGGGGCACAAACACAGGGCCTGTCCCCTGCCCGTGGGCACAGCTGTCCTGCTCCCTCCCAGAAGGCACTTGGACTTTTGTGGAAAAAGAGCTGCTGGGATGGAAAATCCCTGGATGAGTTTCCTCCCAGCCTTTCCTGGGAGTGGAGGACAGACCTCCACCCCCAGGAGGGAGGTCCAGCCAGCGCCGGGAGAGTGGAGGGCGGGGCCCCGAGGCTCAGCGCTGCAGCCTAGCCCTGCGGGGCTGGGAGCACTGTCCCCTCCCCGTCCACCCTCACTGCGTGGGCCTTGGTGGCCTCCTTGTCTAGAAAATTTCCCAGGTGGGGCCTGGGTTTTTGGAGCCCATGGAGAGCAGGTCCTCCACATCTCGGGTGCCCTGGGTAGGGCAGGGAGGAGACCAAGCCGTGGCGCAGAGCTTGGCCAGCCGTGGTCAAAGGAGAGGCGGTGACTGAGAGGCCTGGGAGGAAAAAGATTTTTAAAGGGGGAGGTGGGACCTACCCTGGGGCTGGGGTTGGGGGCTCCCCGTGGGCGTGGGCGGGGGAGGGGGTGCAG